GCGGTAATCAACACAAACACGACCCGCATCACTTTATGGAAAGAGCTCACAAGTATGAACGCCTTGATAGAGTCCAAGTCAGCCAAGATCTTCCTCTTTCGATCGGATGAAACCTTTCAAAATTTATGAAAAGTTATCTCGTACGTCACTCAAGATCGCTCTTATGCTTTCACCTCACCGTCTTTGGCTTCACATCCGTTCAACATTACCGAAGAAGTCTGTCATCATTGGTTGATTTGAAGTGAGGTCGATCAAGCCGGTCAAAGTTTCTTTATTCATGATGTCTCTGCACTCGCATTCATCGGGCTCTTACAAGCAAACAACGGCAGTCTCTGGAGAAGAAGAGAAACTGTAAATAGATCCAGACTAACGGTCCTGAGAAGGAGGAAGGGCAGAAGGAGGGGAGGAAGGTGAAAGTGCAAGACTTAACGCAAGATTCCACACAGAATTCTTCAAGAGTCAGCGGAGCAGTCTCAACAGACGGAAGTGGTGCAAGACTCAACACAAAATACCACACAGAATCCATCAAGAGACTGCTCCAGATACCAAACAGAGTTCGTCAAGAGTCAGCAGAGTAGTCTCAACAAGAGAAATGGTACACCTGACATCAACAATTGTCTTTCTTCTGCCCTCTTTTTCCACGCTCCTACTTCACGCTTTTGACTGCATCTCCCAGTGACATCCGTTCAACTTTGCCGAAGAAGTTCATCATTAAATCTTGGGTTGAAGTAAGGTCGATCAAGTCGGGCAAAATTTTCTTCATTCGAGGATGACTCTACACCCGCATTCACGGTGCTCTTACAAGCGATCACTGGCAGTCGAAGAAGCATCGGTCTTAAGCGCATACCTGTTTGGATGACGGATCAAACACACTTCATCAATGAAGCGTCTATCCTGTCCGACTTGTTGGTGTAACGAGAGTAAGATGAGCCAGAACTTCTCGTTTCGCAACTTTCCAAAGACCCTCCTCTAAACATAAACACCTAAAGGGAGAAGAGGGAGGAGTGAGAAGAGGGTGATGACTATAAAATAGGAAGAGGATGATGACGGTGGAATGAGGAGAAGATGATGATAGCGGAGTAAGAAGAGACTGTTGGTAGCCTCTTCTCATCCGCATTCAAAAGCCGACCAGATAAAACCTTTCGAGATTCATGAAAGATCATCTCGTACGTCGCTCAAGATCGGATCATGACATAGCATTTGAACAAGTGGCACAACAGAAGAAATAACATACTTAACATCAACATTTGTCTTTCCTCTGCCCTCCTTTCTATACTTTCACTTCACACTCTTTGGCTTTACATCCGTTCAACATTACCAAAGAAGTACGTCATCGTTGCTTATTTTGAAGTAAGGTTGATCAAGCCGGTTAAAATTTCTTTATTCATGATGTCTCTACACTCGTATTCATCGGGCTCTTACAAGTAAATATTAGTAGACTTTAGAGAAGAAGAGGAACGGTGAATAGATCCAGGCTGAGAGCCTTGAGAAAGAGGAAGTATAGAAAGAGGATATAAAGGACTTAATATAAGATGCTATATAAAGTTTATTAATAGAATCAGCAGAGTAGTCTGCCTTAACCTTATTTCCTCTTCTTAATCGTTATTATAATTAGATAAATATAAGAAATAATAAATATTTTAATAAATAAGTATTTATTGAAAATCATTTAATAAAAGTTTAGTTAATATTTATAATAGAATAATAAATTAATATAAGAATCTATAATTTAATTATAAAATGCTAAATAAAACTTTTATAAAAAGATATAATATAAATAAAATAATAAGTTTTCTTTTATATAATTATTTAATTATTTATAAAAATAATTATAAAATAAATATATTTAAAAATATTTATTTAAACTTTTTATATTTTTTTATAATTTTAATTTAATTTTCCTTTTTTTTATTATAATAATCTTATATATATATATTAAAATTATTAATATATTAATATTAATATAAATATATAAAAAAATAAATAATATTATAAAAATTTTTATTAAAAGTTTTATTTATTATATATTAAAAAAGATATAATAATTATTAATATTTTTAAATATAAATATTTAATTATAATATCTTATAAATAAATATAATCTAATTTTTTCTAATAAATTAATATAATTAATAAGAAATATTATAAATTATATTTTTATAAAAGTTTTATATTAAAAAAGTTTTATAATATTTTAAATTTTAAGATATAATAATATTTTAAATTTTAAGATATAATAATATATAATTAATTAAGATATCTTATTTTTTTAATTTCTTAATAATTAATATTTAATAATTTTAATAAATATAATATATAATTTTTATTGATTATTTAATAGATTTAAGATATCTTATTTTTTTTTATCTTTTAAATAAATATTTTTTCGATAAATTATTTATAATTATTATTTATAAATCTTCTTAATTATCTAATAAAAATAAAAGATCTTATCTTTTTAATTTTAAAATAAATCTTTTATTAATAAATTATTTATAATTTTTATTAATTATTTAATAGTTTTAAGATATTTTATTTTTCTAATATTTTAATAATTTCTCTTTTTATTTCTTTAATATATTTATTATATTTAATTCTTTTATCTATTTAAAATTCTATAATAATATTTTATTTTATAGATAATAATAATAAATTATAATTTTATATAGTAAAATAATTCTATTAAAAATTAATTTAAAAATCTATATAATTATTATATCTATAAATATTATTAATATATTTATATCTATTACTTTTATACTCTTATCTAAATCTAATAATAATAATAAAAAGAATTAAATATAAAATTTAATTATTTTAATAATTTTCTTTTTATATAAAATTATATTATTTAAAATTTTTATAAATATATATATATATAAAAAATAATATATATCTATTATTAGTTAATTTAATTATTTATCTTTTTAAATAATTATAATAAGAAAAAACTTAAATTTAGATAGTTTATTTAGAAAAAATATATTATATTATATCTATTATTTTTATTATATATATATTAATAAATTAATAAATTAATTATATTAATAATAATAAATATATATATATAATTTTTATTTATATTTATAAAATAAAATAATTTTATAAAGATTTTAATAAATAAATAAATAATATATAATAAATTTAATAAAATTATAAAGAAAAAATTTATTAAGAAATTTAAACTTTTATAATATCTTTAAAGATATTTTATTAAAAATATTATTAATTTAATTTAATTCAATTAAAATTTAATTAAAATTTATTTTTTTTTTTCAATCGAGAAATTATTACTATATAGTACATATAGTAAAATTAAGACAAACATAAGATAAATACAGCTTCCGTTTAAGCGTAAATTACAAACATTCTATAAAGAGAAAAAGAGAAGGTATATAAAGAAGAAAATTCTTTTCTCCCTCCTCCTTCTTTTCCTTCACCATCGTTTATCTATCCCTTTTATATAAAGCTTATATCTTCGCTTAAAAATCGTCCTACCTACCTCCCTCGTTATAGCGCTAGCACTCTACTTCCGACTATCTTCCGGTATCGGCTAGAGCCTGCTTAACAAGCCTTTTTAGCCTATATCAATCAAATCTTTTTAAACCAATCTTTTCTATAAGAGTATTCTAAAGCGGTATTTGTTTTAATTAAAAAATTAAAAAGAATTTTTTATTAAATTAAAAAATTTTTTTATTTAAAATTATAATATTATTATTAATAAAAAATAGAAATAATTATAATAACTATATAAGTCGATCTTACTAAATAAATATATTAAAATAAAAAGGTATTAGTTAAAAGAAATAGATTAATACTAATTAATATTATAGATATATAGCTTAACAGATAAAGAGCTAAAATCGCTATCAGTAATAAGTTCGCCTTAATATATTATTACTATTATAAGATTCACTTATACTAAATTAGTTCTTATCTTGTACCTACTAGTAAACGATTATATAAATTTACAAAAATCTATCGTAATATATATAGTTGGAAGAAGTCTCTTTCTTTGATAAATATTCGATTTCCTTTATTATATCTCGTTTCGTTATCACTATCTACTTCTATATACTATCTTTTCGTAAAAAGAAGCTTATCTAACTCTATTCTAAATATCGATATTTCTCTTGGCTAGACAAAAGTATTATATAATAAGCTCGATAGATGGTAAGAGGTAAAATCCTTCAAGATTGACGACCAAGTTCATTTCCTTTTTTGCAACCTTTTCAGAGGAAGATGTGGATCTCTCATCTATATCGTCAATCTGGACCTCTTCGTAGGTTGAATAATTTCGCTTGGCATCAAGTTTTACGCCTGTTTACCGAATTAAAGATTTACCTTTATTCTATCACTGCTGCCTCAAGTCAAGTAGTAAGTAGTAGTATCGCCAATTTCGGTCTAATGATCATCAAAGAGATGGGTTATGAAGGTGTAAAGACTAACCTTCTAAGCGCTGGTCCATTAGCACTTTCCGTTTTCATCATGTTAATCTGTGCAGTTTTGGTAGATCGAAAAGGGATGAGATCTTTATTGCTTTTGCCGTGTTTGTCGTTGATCACCATTGGCCAATTTTTGATCTTTTTCGATATTCATTCGAAAAGCGTTACTTATGGTGCTATGTATCTAATCGCCGGCTTCAGTGGTCCTTGTAATACCTTAATAACAGTATGGTGCGCCGGAAATATCGGACCGCAATACACAAAGATGGCGACTTTGGCTCTTTGTCTATTGAGCCACACGTCTGTAACGTTAATCAGTGTTGATCTGTATCCTCCAACTGATGCCCTTTTGTTTTGGCATGCTCATTTAGCGGGATTGATTTATATTGTCATCGCAATTGTTTCTGCTTCTTTGTTGACGTTGGTATTGTGATTTGAGAATCATAAGAGAGCCTTTTGGCTGGAATATCGTACGGTCCCAAGCAAAGAACATTTTCCGATTTAGTAAACGATTTACCTTTGATCGAGACTGAAGGAGATCAAGCCTCAACCGGATCAAGTCAAACTGATGGCACTTCCGGTAAAGCATCCTTGGAGGCGCTGCAAGAGCTTGGACTGTATGTCGTGGAACCTGGAAGTGGTCAAGTGTACGTATTGAGTACGTTATCCTCTATATTATTTGATGATCGAATAGATCTATATCACAACAAAAAGACGTTAATGTCTAAATTGCCGCTCATATTACCGCAATTGGTCGGATTGAGTCCGTTCTCCTTTCCGGGTGATGCCTCTCGAGTCTTTGTGGGATATGAAAGTATGTCTTTAGTTGAATTAGACGTTCGTAGTGGAAAGATTGGCGCTGTGTTTGGTGGGTCGTAGAGTAGCGGTGGCGTTTGGTGTTCTTCAAAAGACGATGATGAAAGCAAAGATCAAAAGTGTGGCGACGAGAGCGATCGATCCAAAGAGTGGGAATATATAAGCAGAGCCGATGATATTCTCACGGTTCGCTTGCGCGGTCGACCTGCTCTGTCACAGACGCTTCATTTCAGTACCTTTTCCCCTAATTCTGCCGATCGTGATATCGCAGAGCTCTGGCTTTCGAGAGGATTCTCACTAGATAAACGAACAATGATTGGAATGCCCGAAGAAAGTCCAATCATGTGCTTTGATTCGTCTCAGCATAGCATGAAGTCAACCGAACAGAACGATCGCGCTTTATGGACCAGTGAACTAGGCGCAACTGTAGCAGGGATCGTTGATGTCGTCTACGCAAATTCTCCATCAAGTTCGAAAGATTACCTTCAGCCGCTCTTGTTGCCGCATCCGAAGAGCACATTGAATGATATCTTCTCCCGAATAGGGGCAGGGTCGAAGTATTCAACTCACGGATTAGGAAGAATCGGTGATCGTTCTTC